GTAAAGGTGAAACATTTTGGTCCCAGAGTTCATTTTGGAGACTTTCTGGAGTCTTAAATTTGTTATAATTGCTGACCTTCTGCCAGCCAGACCGGAACACAACAGTTTTTTACTTCACGTGCGCATCTTTTCGTGAGATTCTACATGTCTTCACTCGCCACTTTATATTTTGTTTAAGTTTGTTCTCAGCAGGTTCCTCTAACGTCATGACTCATCTATAACACAATCAGTAACATTATCCAACGCCTCGATCTGTCAAAAGGAGGCAGTACGTAATCATCTTGCAGTTTGTCTAAAAAGCTGGGGATACATAACCATCAAAATCTTCTGAATACTTACGCGTTTGACAGAGTGTTCCCTGATATCCCGGATGACACTGACCGCTCTTAGCGGGTCGATTTTGCTCACGAGAAACATCCATGCAGGAAGCCTAACATAATTAAAACAAAAGAAAGGAAAATTGATTTGTTTCCCTTTGTTTTCTCAACACTGCATTAAGAGGAAAAAAAATCTACCCATCATAGCTTTTTTTTCTTCAATAACTCTGTACAAAAGTGGATAACACACATTTAGCTCTGGCCACTCTTGATAGCATGAAATTTCTATGATGACGAATAGCCGTTCAAAATAGTAGAATCTTTTCAAACTAAAGAACTATTGACAAAGCTGATACAGATGCCGAGAACGCGCCAAAAACGTAATTAACCTGAGGCTAAGAGATGAAGCTTACCCAATAATTTGCATCAGGCTCCATACTTAGTATGAACAGGTGATATAGCCAACTGGTGTTTCAAAACATCATTTTCGCAGAAACATAGCGGATATAGGTATATAACACCTTTAACATTACGTCTGCACTTATTAAATGATAATTTCCTTGTCATTCTCAGTTTTAAGACCGATAAAGAGAAAACAGAATTTAAAGTTCTGAACTTCTCTGCCTTGTAACCTAAAAAAATAGTCAATACTGTTTCAAGCTCGATATGAAAAACGAAATGAAGACACCTATTTTGTCTTTGCTCTCAACAGCCAAATTGGATGATCGTAAAAAAGGAGCTATGTTTTTTTACACTCAAAACTTTTGGGTGTAAAAAAACATAGCTCCTTTTTTCTGGCTGAGCCAGAATTGCTCTTGGCTTCGTCTCGAGCAACTCTTTCGCTTCTGTTATGCTCTCCAAGGCTTCCTGCGTGCCTCCACAACTTCATATATGCACGCTTAGCATGAATCAATTCTTCAATCAGAAATGCATCGATCTTCAGTATGACTGTCTTTAAATCACGCCGGTTAATCACGTTCAAAACAAAATAAATTAACCGAATATCTTTGGCATATAGGCAAGTAACCACGATAAATTTAAAACTTAATACCTACCTGAACAGAGCCACAGTATGTAGATCCTTTCTCCCGTTTAAGATCACTCGGCTTCAACTGCCGTGTTTTGTTATTTAATTCACAGATGCGCTGTCCAGCACTGTCACCGGGATAAACATTGACCGACTTACAACTGTTATTTCCCATACATTTTAACCGACACTCAAACTCGTCCACAACAACAGTCGTGTACATAACGTGACCTAATAAAGCATGGTCTGAAGGTGAAATAAAAAAAGAACTGATGTTTTTCACCTGAATGTATTCGAAATGAAGCCTGAGAATCAAATTCGGGCAGTTTGAGGTTTAACTCACCGAGTTGAGTTTCGAAAACGCATCCGCAAAAGTCCCCTTTTGTCAGGACAATCAGGAATCCGAGGAAGATATTAAGAGTCACAATGGAAAACTGGACCAGCCATAATACAGCCATTCTAGTTTATTTCCACGTTGTCGCACTGCTCTTCCAAGAGGAACTTCTTCACTTGATAGACATGATCTGCAATTCAATTGCTCTCCCTTAATTCTCCTTAATTTGTTTTCCTGAGCAAGTAGACTACTCCTCATTGGNTTGGGGATGGAAAAAGAAGCACGATTGACCGCACTTGCGACAAGTGGGAAGAACCGATAGCGGTCTCCCTGATTCTAACTCGGGTAACATGAGTGGAAACGTTATAGCGAGCTTTATAGCTGGTAACTCGTTAAAATTCAATTTAACAAGATATGTATATAATCCATAGTTTATGACCGCGATACGAAACAAAATGGCCTCTTAGCAACAACCCCTTTCTTTATTTGCGAAACGCAGTCATTGTATCGAGGTGTAATGCTTGATGAAAAAAGCGGTAATATTTCTACTAATCTGATACCCAGATCGTACCGTGTAACACACCTACATATACCCCGTGTAACTGTCACTGAAATGTAGGATCTTACAAGCACCTGGCCGCAAAAGGTCTGGGTACGAGACCATGTCTGTATCTGAGCTATGTGGCTAATCAAGCCAGAGCCTATTCCGGTTGGTGCCCGACCTCCTCCCTCCCCCTCTTGTTCGTAGCTTTTGGTCAGGCGCCCCTGACATTTCGCTGCTACCCATTTTACTATACTGGGCCAATGATGGACCACTATTCTGGGCCAATGATGGCACACTATACTCGGTTAATGATGGCCCACTATGTTTAAAAATGGAAAAAGTGTAGTCAGGAGATGTCATGAGTTTTATGAAAATTGGTTGCCTCTGGCTGTTGTTATTTCTGAAAACAGACGTTTCGGCTAATGCTTAAGCCTCAGCAGCGATATGAAAAAACGAAGATCGATGTCATACGCTAATTAAAGTTAAAACGTGACGCGAAACTTGCGCGCGTAACTACGTATTTGATGCTCGCGCGAGGTCTTTATAGGCTTCTGGAAGTACGATGTGATCGTTCCCAGCATTCGGATCCAAAGTAGAGTGCCATGCATCAAGGAAAGGTTTCTGGTGGTAATTGGATTCGAAACCAACGACCCTGACTTTTGTAAAGTCCATGTTATGGTCGAAAAGGTGGACATGGCTTGCGACTTTGGAGTTCAAGTCAAAACCTGCAACTGCCTTTTTCTGCTCAACATTTCTGGTCTTTAAAGACCTTTCTGAACGGTAATGCTCACCATTATACGTTCCATCTTTCGCTGTGTGACCGCAGGCTTCTCTGCCCTAGCGTTGTTCAATACCAATGTCTCGCATCCGTAAGTCATTACTGGTAGAATGTTCTCATCGTGTATCTTCCTCTTGATCTTCCTCTTGATCTTCCTCGTTCTTGCCTTGCGGCTTCTCATGATATTGTCCACTTTTCCAAAGGCTGCCCAACCGAGTGCAATCCTTCTCCTAATCTCAGGAAGTGGGTCACCATCTCGTGTCAATGTCTTTCCTAAGTAAACATAGCTGTCTGCCTCCTCAATGATCTTGCCATCTACAGTTATTGTTGACTTGTTGACGTGGTCATTGAACATCACTTTAGTCTTGCCTAGATGTTGAGGTCAGGACCGTGATTTTGCAAGTTTTATGGATGTTCGAGTGAAGTACAGCTCTAATTTCTTGATAGCACATTTGAATATCAACAGCTATCACAATAAATTTGAAGAGATGAGGGAAATTATACAAAAGCTAAGAATTCAAGTGATGTTCATCGGTGAAACCAAAATTGACTCTTCCTATCCCGATGCACAACTTGCTATACCAGGGTACCAGCTTTACGGAAGTGACAGGATGAAAGGAGGAGGTGGTCTCTTGGCTTATGCGTCATCTAACGTGATCTGCAAACGGTTAAAAGTTCCTGGCAGCTACAAAA